AACATAATTGAATGAAGACTACAGAAAGACCAGTATTTGAAAAAGGTGATGTTTCAGTCAATGAGGAAAAGATGAACTCTCCAACATATGGGGTTGGAAACAAAGTTGGATCTCTACTTCACACCTTTTATCAGGCCGAATTCCAAATACATCAAAGACTTGCATTTATAAAATGAAAGCATCAAAGTACAAGGGGAGACCTTGGGGGGAATGCTTTAAAAGTTCGAAATGGGTAAAGCCTTTCAAATTAAGACATAAAACCATAAAATAAACCACCATAAGCAATGTCAAAAATTAAACTGGGACAAGAATTTGCAATTCTTAAAACCACTCCAAGTTCATTTCCTAATATAGAAAAAGCTCCTTAAAAAAAAAAAAAACAATAAGAAACAAACACCATAAAGGAAAAATGGCAACAGTTCACCAAAAAAAAAAAAAAAAATTAAATATATGAAAAAATGCTCAAACTTACAGAGAAACTTTAAGAATATACCAAGATAAGGGCGCCTGGGTGGCTTGTCAATTAAGCGTCTGTCTGCCTTTGGCTCAGGTCATGATCTCAGGGTCCTGGGATGGAGCCCGGTCTGGGGCTCCCCGCTCAGCGGGGAGTCTGCTTATCTCTCTCCCTTTGCCACTCCCCCTGCTTGTGCTCTCTCATTCTCTCTCTCAAATGAATAAATAAAATCTTAAAAATCTTTAAAAAATCAGACTACCGAAAACTCGGTAACATACCATGTTGGCAAGGAGGCATCATCACGTACCGCTGATGGAAGTGTAAATCCTTCAGCTCTGAGAAGGGCAGTTTGGCAAGATCCATCAAAATCCACATTCCTGTTCTATTGGATTCAGACATTTCTTTTCTAGAAAAGCTGTACAATTACCTTCATATATTTATAAGCTTATTCACAGCAGCCCTGTTCGTAATAGCACAATATTGGAGGCGAGCTAAATGTCCCCCAGTAAATATGACAGAGTGTTGTACGGCCATAAAAAAGAATTTAGGAGCCTCTTAATGTGCCAAGACAGAAAGATCTCCAATACATATTAAGCAAAAGACTGCATATAGTAAGCTCCCAGTTGGTTAAAAGGGGGGACATGAATATATAATCACACGTTCTTATTTATGCAGGAAGTGTGACCCAGACAATACACAAGAAATAAAATGCAGTTGCCTATAGGGGGAAAACGTGGTGTCTGGAGAGCAGATGCAGGAGGGAGCATTTTTACTGTATGTCCTTTTATACTTTGGGTTTTAGAACACATGAAGGTATTACCTATTGAAAAAAATTGAATGAAGCTATTAATTTAATAAGTAAAAACTGGTTATATTGACTCACATAGAGGGGAAAGGATTTTGCTGTATTTTTTTCCACTATTAAATAAACTACCCCGTTCCTTAAAAAAATGTCCCCGCTCCTCAAAAGTACTCTGTCCTTGTATTTGAGGACTGGTGGGGATTAATATCTAGGCAGAAGTCCCTCTTTGCAAAGTTGTCAGTCCACAAGTTTGATGAGTACCTACTATGTGCCCAGCCCCTGACAGCACCAGGGGAGCACCCAAGAAGGAGAAAAGCACACTCACCCTGTCCTTGCAAGCTGGGCCTCAGACCCAGCAAGGCTGAGAAATGATAGTCCCTGACCTTCCCAGGGAGGCTTTGGAGACCCCTCGTGAACAGGCAGCACTAAAAGCCAGCAGGTGGGGGGATCCTGGGGCAGGAAAAGGAAGTCGAAAGTTGGGAGTCCGGGGCATCAGTGCCGCTAAGGGGGAGGGAGGGAAAACCAAGAGGGACCACCACCCTCAGCTGCTGTGCAGCAAGCAGAATTTCAGGGACTCCACCCTCCTTCAGCAGCCCTTGTCCCCTAACCCCCTTGTAGGGAAGGGTGGATGTCCTCTCTCTTTTCCTCGGCCTAAGCAAGCATAGCCCTGGGCGGCCTCGGCTCTCCCCTCCGCTGAAACCCCCACTCAGGAACTCACTGAAAGCCCCTCACCAGACGGGTTTGGTCCCAGCCGTGGGGGTATTTTTCTTTTTAATGAGACTGAAGACTCCCAGAGGAATAAAGTTTTAACCATGGCATTTCTGGCCCTCAGGGGACTTTCCAGCCATACTCATCTTCCCTGTCACCAAAGAAAGGAACATAAGTCACTGTCTCTTCTTTGGGACTTGGTTTTGTGTGGGGAGGCCGAGCTTTAGAGAAATACAGACAGAGGGGAAATTTGAGGAGGTGAGTAGTGGCAGGATTTCTGGCATCCGCGGCAGGACTGTGTGAAGACATGCTTTTTGGCCTGAGGCCTCTCTTCCCCACAGCAGAGGGGCAGCCTGCAGAACATGCTCGGCCCTCATGGGCCCCCTGGGCCTTCAGTGTGGGGCAGCTTCTTCCCTCAGGGAGAAGAGGGGGCAGGAAGCAAGGGGACGGTGTGCACCTGGGCCAGAGCAAGGGCAGGCAAAGAGCAGAAGATGGGGAGGAGTAAGACGTTCCAGCTTCTCTTGCCCCGAGTGGGAATCCTGAGCAGAAGGAAATGGCTGAGTTGAACTTTCAGATGGGCAAGGCTCAGGGGGGCTTGGAATCTTCCGAATCCACTCCATCCACACAAAGCAGAAAGGCGCCCTTCTGACAAGGCTTTAAAAGAGAGGGCTTTGAGAGGTAGCACGTGGGTCCTGTCTCAAATTGGGGTTGGAGGCTGGCATTGGAAGAAGTCCACCAACGCGAAGGCAGGAAGGTGAAGAAGTGTAGTGCACCGAGGCAGGAACGCCAGCCTTTGGAGCAGGGTGGGGACCGAGTTCAAGTCCCAGTGAAGTCAACCTCCTCGTCACCTTTCAGAAGTCACCTACCTTCTTCCAGCTTCCATCTACCTGCTGCTGCCACGATCATAGCAAAGCATGCTCTTCTGAACCCTCGCTGTTGTTCAGAGCATGAATGTGGTTTGTAGACCACAGAGGTGCTTTCCACACGTTTGTTGTTGCTGTTCCTAATACACGTGTTGCCATGGCAATCATCGTGCGTGCGTGTGGGCAAGGTAGCACGTTAGATTAGGGAGCATGAAGGGACTGTAACTCAGCAGGGCACACAGGTTCACCTCTCAATGACTCCCACGTTTGCAGGTGGGCGGACAGAACCCCCGGTTCCCTCTAACTCTGGCTCCTCGTGGAGGAAGTGAGTGTAATACTATAAAGGCCTGCTACTTCCACACACTTCATCTCAACCTTCAGACAAGCAGGAATGTGTCATCCCAATTTGATAGACAAGGTAACAGACCAGCAAGGTGACTTCACCAGGGCCATGCCACCCTAGGGATGAATACCCAGGCCTCCCATGCCCAAGTCTGTGTTCCTCTCCCTTCCCTCCCACCCTGGCTAGAGCTGAGCCTTGACCACACACGGTGGCCAGGGGGGTAGATCGGGGAGCCCGGTCCCAGGGGCTCCGCTTGGTTGGGCTCACTGTCCTTTCTGTAGTTCATAAGCATCTGCTTAGAACAGCATATTTTAATGAGCTTTCTCTTTTCTCAAGAAGTCCCAGCTGTAGGCGGAAACAGGGCCGAGGGTGCAAAGCAGGCGGGCCCTGAAGTGCTTCCTGCCCCACCTTTGCTCTCAGGCCTGGATTCCTGATGGTGGCTGGAGTTCAAGTCCAGACGCCAGCAGCCTTGTGAGAAAGACCCCTCTTGCTCTGTGTGCAGGGCAATGGGCCTTCTTTGCAAGACCTGCCCAGCCCAGCCCAGCATGGCTGCTGAGGGAGGGCCAGGGCAGGGACCTTCCTCTGACAGTCTGGGTCCTTCTATGGGACGGGTGTGGGACTTGCAGATTTGGTCAGTAGGGGGATTCTTACCCAGAACTTCAAATTTTATACGAGGTCTTACATGGTACCCCAAATTATAAAGCAAGAGAGCTGCTCTGGCTGAGGCCAATATACCACCCCCCGCCCCCATCATCCCCTGTGGTACTCGCTCACTGCCCAGAACCGCCTGGGCTCTGTAGGGCCTGGTTGTTGCCACCAGTGTGTGTCTTCCCTCCTGTCCCCAGACACTTACCCCCTTTGCCTGCTTGCCCTATGAAGACTGATCTTGCACAGAGGTCATGCTCCCGCAGGCAGGTCTCCCATCGTCCTCCGCGTGAATTTCTTTTTCTTTTTTTTTTTTTTTAAGATTTTATTTATTTATTTGACAGAGACAGTGAGAGAGGGAACACAAGCAAGGGGAGTGGGAGAGGGAGAAGCAGGCTTCCCACTGAGTAGGGAGCCCGATGCGAGGCTCAAGCCCAGGACCCTGGGATCACGACCTGAGCCGAAGGCAGACGCTTAATGACTGAGCCACCCAGGCACCCCCTCCACATGAATTTCAAACTCCTCTTGCATTCTAGGCTTTTCGGGGTTGGTTTCAACATGCCTGTCTTGCCCCTCCATTCACCAGGGCCCAATTCTCTGGTCCCTTCACTGTCTTTGGCTCCCACCGTGTGGTCTTTCCCTTCCTTCCCCCCTTTTCCCTTCATGCTGTCTCCAAACCTAACCCTCTCTCCAAGCTTCTCTTGAGAGTCACTTCGTGCTGCTGCCCTCACAGCCTGCACCAGCCAGCAGTGGTCTCCCCCACGACACAAGAGCTCACATAGTCAGCGTTCTGTAAAGTAGCGTCTGATTCTCACGTGGTTTTAGCCGAGTCATTGCTGTTAGTATGCATCCCTCCAGCTGACCCCATTAACTCACGAAGGAAGGAGGAGGAGTTGCTTCTTCCTCTCATATCATATGGATTTCAGCACACAGTAGGGCTCCAATAAATATCTACTGATTTTATTAGACCGCAGCAGTCTTGAGATATCCCTGATGTTATGGAAGCTCTTCCCTCATGTTGAGGAGAATGGAGGCACTTTTGGGGGTTGGGCAGTGTGGGCGAGAGCCCTGGACTGAGGTCGGTTGCCAGCAGATTTCCCTGAGATGTGCACATCTCTCCCAACTCAAGAAGACCCTATTGGGATGTCTGAAGCATTAATTGTGTGGGTGTGGCCCATCTTGCAGGGATTTGAAACTGGACAACATCCTTCTGGATGCAGAAGGTCACTGCAAGCTGGCCGACTTTGGGATGTGCAAGGAAGGGATTCTGAACGGTGTCACAACCACCACATTCTGTGGAACTCCTGACTACATTGCACCCGAGGTAAGATGGTGCGCAGAGGGCCACATTCTTCTGCCAGGGCTTAGGTGGGCGCCGTTCCCTTGCAATGAGGTCACCTAGTGGTGCTGGGGGAAAGCACTAGAAAACCAGGAGAGATTCTAAGGGAGGAGGGAGAAGAGGAAGGGTAGAAGGCTCACTGATTTCTCCATAAGGAAGTGGTGGTGATGGAGGAGATAACGGGCCAACTGTGAGCAACGGGCCATTCCCCACACCAGGACAGAGACTCGCTGGGCCTTACCCTTCCATCTCAGTCCAGAACTACCAATGGACTGGGACCAGGAGGACTTTGTAGACTTGTATCATTATCTTCACTTCTTAATAACCAGAATAAAGGAGCGCCATCGATAAAGGAAGAAATTAGCTTCATTAGCTGTAATGTTCCTACAGTAAAACCAGGAATTATTTGCCATTTCTAGCATAGTGGTGATTCTGCATGGCGGGCCACAGGGTCGAGCAGGAAGAGGAAAGCGTGCCTTGTTATAAATGTAGATCAGAGATGTTCATTGGGAACCCGACCGATGGTCTGCCTTTCGTGAAGTTGTTTGGATGTTTTGTTCATCATAAAGTGCTTATTGACCTTGAGTTTCTCAAGTCAGTCTTGCCTAGGCTGAGAGATACCTTGTGTGATATGATTCAGATGTCATAGATGCTGAATAAAAATGGCCTTGAGGGTTCTGACCATGTAAGATGGGAAGGAGATACCAACGCCCCCGTAAGCACTGCCCATGGGGCGTAGGTGTTCGTTAGCGCATTCCGATTGCGTTTCCTTTCAGTTGGCATTGTTTGAGCACCTGCCAGACACAAAGCAATGTGGGGATGAAGAACTGACTAAGCACTCCGCATTCTCCTAAAAGAGCTTCTGGTGTAGAGGCAGTGGGCTCTAAGTAAACAGCTAATTAAGCAGAATAAATAGATATAAAAGACAAGATGGTATCCTCAGGGATAAGGGAAGGCTTCTTGGAACACCCGGTAGATGAACTGAGTTGTCGAGAATCAGCAGGATTTCCTTTGGTGGTAGGTGTGGGAAGCATTCCTGAAAACAACCAGGGGATTGGGGTGGGGGGCAGGGCAGCACAGGAGGTTCAGTATTCCTGGGCTCTGAATCCTTTAGGGCAGGGGCTGTGTCTTTTCTGAGTACTCCCAGGATCCCGCACACAGATCAGGCTCTTAGTAATGGTTTTTTGAATGAACAAATGAATTTGAACTTGTGACACTCAATGTGAGCAAAGACGAACGGATGAGAATATCCTTGGCCTTCATTCAGGGAAGGAAAATAGTATAGGTAGAACAGAGGAGTTCTTAATGCTCATAGTAATGAATAAAATTAGGAAAGAGGACCAAGGGAAGTGGCCTTTATCCTAGAGGATCTGTAGACCCACTGAGAGTTTTCCGGTGGACAGTGTCCGGGTCTCTCAGACCTGTCCCAGAAAGAAGACAGACAACAGCAATCTTGTGCAGAAGGCAGAGAGTGCGGGAAGGACAGTTAAGAGACTTTTCACAGACCAGACAAGACATGGGGGGCCCGAGGAGAGGCGTGAGGATGGTAAGTATAGTTGAGCTCCCTTTAGAACCTTTACCTTCTAAGAGATCTGAAAGCAGAGATTTCAATCAGTCTTCCTTAGCAGGAACACTAGGAATTTAATCTTCGAGGAGAAATCGGTAAAAGCGAGGGCCCTCAGTTGGGACCTGCTTTTTTACCGTCTTCCTCATTCATTCCTTCTCAACAGAATGCCTGGTTCCAGTCCTCTGTAAGGAGGAGTCAAAGGGTTAACAGGACAGCAGAGTAGTTAAGGACCCAGCCCAAGGCAAACAGTCACTTTATGATGAACAAAACATCCACACAGCTTTCATGACAGGCAGTCCATTGACGCGAGTCACAATGAACAGTGCTGATCTCTCTGTTTATAATGAGGCACAGACACTCTTCCTTCCCATTTCTTCCTTGTGCCCACAATGCAGAATCACCAGTACATGCGAAATGGCGAGAAATCCTGGTCTTACTGTAGGCGAATTACAGTTATAAAGCTATTGCTACTTTTATCAAGGGCTATTGGGGAGATAAAATAAAATTATGCCTCCGAAGCATTTAGCACAGTGCCTGGCCCACAGCGAGCACTGGGTCGTTATCATCACTGTTGCCGGCTTGTCTGGAGGTGGGGAAGGCACAGTCCTGAGAGTTGAGATTCTAGGCTAGACTGGACCACTGATGCCCCCATGTGACCTTGACCAAGTCACAGAAGTGTTTTAGACCCTCAGCTTCCTCATCTTTCAAATGGGAAGAGCACTTCATGCCCTACCTACCTCATCAAGCTGTTTTGAGAGTCTAATGAGATTAGAGCATGGAAATGCTTGAGAAACCATAAGCCTCTATTCAGATAGGAGGGGCTGTGAGGCCCCTGGTTAACCCTGAAACCACAGACACCTAATGAGGTCCTAGCTCTTCCCCAACACTTCTCGTCCCACCATGCACGCTGGGCTAGCCCCTGCTGCACCCTTTCTCCTTTCCACATGCCCAGCGCCTGCTCCCCAGGAAATGGCAGCCAGCCCTGGGTATGACTGGCACCACTGGGCCTGATCCTTGCCCTTCTACCTCAGCTCTGAGCCACTCGAGGGGTTAGCCACCGCACCCGTGCCCTCCCATGGCATGTGAAGCCTTGCCCTTCTCACTGCTGCGTTGCTGACAGGCCGGTTAAGAAGCAGAAAATTAGGGCCCAGCCCCAAAGGAATTTTATGAAAGAGGCCGCCCCAAATGGGAAGGCTCTGGAGTGGGCCTGGGGAAGGGTGGGCAGGGCCGTTCTGTGGTTTCTGCAGAGCCATCCTGTCTGAGCACACATAGGCCACCTGGAGGTCACCTCCCCCACCATCCTGTGGAGGCACAGGACCCAGATCTGCCACCTCCTGGAGGCTGGAGGGTGGCCACCCCAGCATTCCTAGCCGTCTGAACCCAGAGAGAAGGGTGTGCACCCAGCGAGACACACACGGTGGGCACACATGGCCACCAGTCTCCCAAGTGCTGGAATTGGCCTGGTCACGGTGGAGGGCTCAGAAGCATGCTAGAGCCCCTACCCTTGCTGGCTTAGAGATGCCCAGGGGAAACAACTGACCATGAAAAAATAACTAAAATCACGGTTTATATGGAAAGTGCCTGCAGTTCTTAGGGACAGGAAAGGGTCTTAGGATCTGTCAGAAGAGACGAGAAAAGCTGGGGAAATTCGGGAAAGCTTTCTGGAGGAGATGCATGATAACCATGCCCTTGAAACCAGCAGTGCCATGGTGAGCCGGGTGGGGCGCTAGATCTTTCATGATTGAAGGAGCCACTGACTTTGGCTTTGACTTTGGAACCGAGCAGCATTTACTGGCTTCTCAGGACAGCAGAGCCTGTAGCTCTGACCTTTCAGATACCATGTGTGGACCACTGGGCTAAGAGACCAAAGATTCTCACCAGACAGATTGCCAGCCCCAAATAACTCAAAGTTGGCTGTGTTTGCTTACGTTTCTTTTCATTCTAAATTCAAAGGATTCCTAAAACATGCATGTTTTTACTGTTTTCAAAATAATTCCACCTAAGTCTTTTTTTTTTTTTTTTAAGGATTTTATTTATTTACTTGAGAGAGAGAGAATGAGAGAGAGCACATGAGAGGGGTTAGGGTCAGAGGGAGAAGCAGGCTCCCCGCCGAGCAGGGAGCCCGATTTGGGGCTCAATTCCAGGACCCTGGGATCATGACCTGGGCTGAAGGCAGATGCTTAACCAACTGAGCCACCCAGGCACCCTCTACCTAAGTCTTTTTACTTAATCCCAGGCAGCCTGTAGTCTGTGGTCTCTAGAATGGTGTTTTGAGGAGACCAGCGAAAGCCCCAGCACTCCCATTCAGCCTTCTCTTCCCTGGCCATCCTGAAATCTGAGAACTGAGCTGGAGCCTCGTTCCAAACAGGTTACCTGAGAAGTTACCTGCCTGGGGTGTCCCGCAAGCTGAAGTCACTGGGCATGGCCTTTTGCCATTTGGGGTAAAGTTCTGGATGGACACCCCTTTACATGCACCCCAGCCATGCTGGTCCTCTATCACCTTCACTTTTTGGAATTCTTCATAGAATTACAGAGCTGAGAGTAACCCGGAGAGGCCATCTCATCTGTGTGTTTGTGTGTAGCACCATGCCTAATCTGGCTCTGACAAAAGGAGAAAATAATTATGGGATGGGGATCTCACTTCACAAACCCTTCCTTAGCAGTGGGGCCAGCTCAGCATTTATTTCTACTCTGAGCCAAACATATATCCTTGACCTGCTGCATGCTCTCTAGACGTGGAGACCAAACCTAACAGAAGAAAACTTGGATTTCATACCAACTTGCGATTATATAGAGTTTTGTAGTTTGCAACATGCTTTCAAAATCTTCCACGTTAGCTAATCTTAGGAGGCTAAACTGAGAATCTGAGCTTCATGTGATGAGGAAGCCAAGTGAATGGCTCAAGATCACCCAGAAAAACATAGCCCCAAACTTGGGATGGAATAGAAACAAACACCCTGGTCAGTCTTCTGTCTCAGCCACTGTAACACATGGCCAGGGCTCCAGAAAAAATAGGATTGGGGGCCATTACTGGCTTTTCAGAAGGTTCTGCAGCTTCTTTAGGTAGCATTCCTCCCAGACATTGAAATTAGGACTCAGTTCGTAAAACTGCGGTCCCCGCACATCATTGTGCAGGAAGCTGATGGCAACAGAGTATCCTGCAGCCATGTGTCGCACATGCATTTAGCATAAATGAATTTGACTTCTCCTTCGGTGAGAAGAAAAGAAGCAAGAGAGACTGAGAGTGTAGGTAAGAAAAATGACCCGTGACAAAGACAAAGCACACTGGATAGTCAAGGAGATGACTTGACTGGGGCTATCGCACTAGGGAGAAGGTTCTGCTCAAGAGTGAGGAATGCCGCAGAAAAAATGAAGGGGCCTGAGCCTTATGGAGGCAGGTACACAAGGGATTCATCAACGAGTTTTGTGGGAGTCGTGATGAACATTGGAGGTGGGTCTTTTCCTGGAATATCCAAAAGCATAGGCATCCTTTGTGGTTAGAACACAAAAGGATGGGGAGATTTATTAACTATAGTTTCTTTTCCAAAAACATAGGGCTCAGGCAAATTCCACATTGTCACAATTTAAAGAAGACTGAGATTCTGCTCACCTTCCCACTCAGTGTGAGATGGTCCTCATTTGCTCTCAGTCACTTACAGCTTGCTCGTGTCTCTCTTAGCCTGCGTCTTGCTCCTCTGACCCTGATTTTCGTGTCAAAAACATGCATGTCTTTTTATATGGTCCTAAGTGCAAGTCAGGAACTTCATCTGCTGAAACAAAGAGACAGCGATTTATTCCCACGGGAGGACAGACTGTGGGTGTTGACTTTGGACAGTTGATAGTTAGGCCCCAGCATCGTGCCTCCCAAACTCGGTTTTCCCTCAATTTGCTGATTTCCGAACCTCAGTTATATGAGCCAGGGCTCCGCTGTGCCGAGGAGCAAGCTGGAAATGAAGATGCAGTTCCCACAGCACAGGGAGGCTGTGGGCAGGCGTCCGTGGCGGTCCCTGACCTTGCCCGCTTCCCCAACAGATCCTGCAGGAGTTGGAGTACGGCCCCTCCGTGGACTGGTGGGCCCTGGGGGTGCTGATGTACGAGATGATGGCTGGGCAGCCCCCCTTCGAGGCCGACAATGAGGACGACCTGTTCGAGTCCATCCTCCACGATGACGTGCTCTACCCGGTCTGGCTCAGCAAGGAGGCTGTCAGCATCCTGAAAGCTGTGAGTCCTCGCCCTCCCCCATGCCGCTGCTCCCCTGACCTCTCGCCCTCTTCGCCCTCTTCGCCCTCTTCGCCCTCTGTCCCTGTCATCCCTTCCTGGTTCCTGAGGACTCCTCTCTCCCTTCCTCCCCTCCTCTCTGCCGTCCCACCTCTGCTGCCGAATGAGAGGCCTTGCAGGCTGTCACAGCGGGGAGTCGAGGCACAAATTGCTTTCTGCGGGACTGGGACACGTTTGTGTCTCCTGAGAGGGAGCTCTGCGCGTGTCTGCGTGCTCCTGAGTTCCACAGGGAACACAACCAACCCAGGCTGTGCTGGTGTCATTTCTGCCACATGTACGCTGGGCCTTGGACCCTGCCTCCTCCCCTGCCACCCACGCCTATCTCCTTCCACTGGAGCCTGTGATGGGCAGGAGGGAGGTGGTCACTGCGCACCTGTGTCCATGACAGCATCTCTGTGGCTGAAGAGCTGATGAGAAAAGAAGTGCCCGCTCAAGACCTGTGCAGCCGTGCTGGATTCAGACACGATAGAGAGATGGTCCCCAGCCCTGCAGAGAACCCCGCACATATGAGATGCTTAGCACTTGCCCAGCACGGCTGTTTCTGCGACGTAAGCCACTCAGATGAGGGCAAGTAAGTGAAGTTCCCTGTCCGCCTTGGAAAGCTGTGGAAGGCGGGGTGCAGGGAAGGTAAGCAGAGCAGTTGACCTGCTGGGTTGAGGCAGGACTGAGGTGACAGCCTAAGAACTTTGACTTCCAGTCCTGGCTTCTGTCGCCCATTAGAGTGCGGCAGAGTTCAGTACCTGGCACATCACATTCACCAGGTTTTCTGTATCCAAGTACCTTCTCAACTGCGATTTACTTGTTCCCTTCAGTCAACTACCGATATTTACCTAATTCTAGGTTTTTTACCAAGAAATTTTATATCACTGTCATAAACAGAAAACCAGTATCATTTACCGTAAATAAGTAACATCGGTCATCATAGGAAAATGGCAAAAAGACCTCACATCATTCTGTCGGTGCCACATCATTCTGGAAAGTGCCACATCAGAGCATGCTGTTCTCTCCTGCGGCTCTTGCTTTCTTCCCCTTCCTTCTTTCCCTCACCTCATCCATTTCCCTTTGTCTCCCTCCCCCTCCCCAACAATAATTCAACGACCGGCTGTTTTTTGAGGGTTTCCCATGTGTGGGGCATCACGCCTCGTGCCAAGTAAGCATTGGCGAGTATAATAGCCATCGTCCAGCAGGCAAAAATAAATTAAAAAATACATCCACACATAGTCACAGCTGAGAAGCAAATAGAGAATGTATATTCACTCATCCCGTGCAAAGCAGTGAGCATCAAGTATGCACGAGGTGCTGTGTCAGGTGCCGGCTAAGGAGAAACCCACAGGCAGCACCCGAAGGGGCCAGAACACCAGCGCAGCAGAGCTGCTCGCTTGCCCGGGGCCCTGAACGCCAGCCCCACAAACCGATGAGCCCCCTGCCAGCACCCCAGCGAGGCCCTTTCATTTTTGGATGACCCAGAGCAGTGTTTCTCAACAAGGTGTGATTTTTTTGCCCTCCCACCCCTGCCCCAGGAGATATTTGGCAATGTCTGGAGATGCTTTCGCCATCACAACTGGGAGGGGGGCTGCTGCTGGCATCTAGTGGGTGGAGCCCAGGGACATTGCTAAACATCCTACAATGCCCAGGACAATTCCCACAACAAAGTATCCAGTGCAAAATGTCATTAGCACAGAGGTTGAGAAACTTCGACCTACAGAGATTCAGAAGCTAGAGATCATGCCTGTGTCGGCTGGTTGGTGAGGGCAAAGTCTCTGGGAGAAGGCATCTTCCCTGCGAGAAGAGCTTCTGACTCAGGAGCAGCTTCCTGAGATGTTAAAACCTGTATGTTTATCAGTAGCCCTGATACTTCCTCTCCCAGAAGTGGAAGGGCAGGAAGAGCTAAGGAAGTAAGGAAGAGTCTTTACTCCCTTGGCCTTGGAACACTTTACTTCCTCACATTGTCCCTTGATTCTCGGGCCAGGCCAGGTTTTCCATGACTCTGGCCACTGAGCTCTGTCTCTGAGGGCTGCTACCTACATGAAAGTGGTGCAGAACTCTGTACAACCACGAAAGTGGCGCAGAACCCTAGAGAAGATCATTTACATCATAGAGTTATGCAGTGCCCAACCTGTGCAACAGTAAGTGCTGGTCTTAGTGCCTTCCTTCCTCAGCACTGTGCTCTGAGGCCCAGCATTCAGCCCCGCACTGAGTCATTTAAATGTTCTGAGTGCACAATAGAAGCCAGGCACTGAACCAGGTACTGAGAAGATAGGACTGATTCCTATATCCTAGAGCTCACAAGGGAAAGAGAAGTTTAGGCAAATTATAATTTAAATAAACAAGAAACATGAGGTCCCAGGTACCTACACAGCAGGGAATCTGGGGAGGCTTCACAGAGGAGGCAGCATTTTGACTGGTTCTTAGAGGGTACGTAGGGACTGGACAGGGGCATTCAGCCAGGGGAATAAAGGATACTAAAGGCCAGCCAAGGTAGACTGGGTTCAGACTGAGAAGTTTCTGTGTGCCAAAGTCTATGGACTTTATCCTGCGGGCAGTAGGAATCAAGAGTGTTGAAGCAGGGTAGCCTCTGCTGACTTTTAGATTTACGAAGGTGAAGTGTGCGTTGGTACCATTCTACCTCGGATCTGCCCACCACCCCTTCACTCTCTTACCTGTCGCTCTCCCAGCGGTATGTCCACGTGCTTTGGCTTCAGGAGCACCAGGCAAGTGTCAGTAGGAGACGCTCCCTGCCCAAGAAAATCTCCCTTGCTAATGAAGCCTGAAAGTGTCAGTATAGAGTTCTTCCTTTGGATTATGGTTGGTCCTCTTAAATTCCTTCATTTAAATACAGACGCTCAGCCTTCACCCTGTGAAATGTAACTCTCGTCTCTAGCACGAACGCGCGAGCGCGCGCCCCCGCGCGCGCGCACACACACACACCCCTGCCTCTATTTTGGGTGGCTATCAGAAATATTTCCACCTATCAGTGGATTTTTTTTTTCAAGGTTATTTGGTACACATCTACTCAGATTAGTTGCCATCAGAACTGACTCACTTAATAGGAATAAGCTCATCTGGGTGTGTGGGGAAATATGAGGGCTACGGATAAAAATACAGATTTTTACATCTCGGGAATCTGCCCCCAAGCCAGAGGCTCTTCTCACAAGACGTCAGCCAACAAATATAAAACATATCAATGTGGTTTTTACAGACAAACATTGAGAAACCATAAGCTTTTCCTTTTCTTGTTTTTTTTTTTTTATCAGTTGATCTACATGGGTATTGTATGCTAGAGATTACAAATTCAAATTTAAAAACAAACCAAAAAAAAAGAGGGCCCCGGGGCCAGGAAAAGGAGAAGTGCAGGAGGTGCCTTTGATAATTTACCTTAGCATGAATATCTGTTCCTCTTTCCTTCCCTCAGCAAGGACCTCAGTGTAAATGAATTTATCAGACCCTAGTCTCTCTGATGAGAAGACTCGAGAATCTGAAGAGAATCAGGGAGTTAGTAACAGCCCAAGCTCCTACTCCCAGCATGGTACTTTGTTGGCTGTTTGACCTTGGCCGAGTTAATTAACCTCTCTGTGCCTCAACTACCTCACTTATAAAATAGGGACAATAATAGACCTCAGAGGCTCGCATTTGGATGAAATGAGTTAATGTTTGCTATGTTTAGAATGGTGCTGACACATAGTAAGTTCTAGACAAGATTAAAAGAGGACCCTGGGGGGCAGACCCCCCAGAAGTGCAGGAAACAGGCTTGGGAGAGGGTGCTGAAGACCTTGCCCTGGCTGGCTTCCATCTTTCCCTCGAAGCCTGTCCCTGCCAGGTCTTTGTCACTAATTCCGTCCTGTCCTCCTTCCCACAGTTCATGACCAAGAACCCGCACAAGCGCCTGGGCTGTGTGGCGGCCCAGAACGGTGAGGACGCCATCAAGCAGCACCCGTTCTTCAAGGAGATCGACTGGGTACTCCTGGAGCAGAAGAAGATCAAGCCGCCCTTCAAACCTCGAATTGTAAGTAGGGCCCGGAGCTCATTCCACACTGTGGGTTGGGCCTGGGCGCGTAGACAGAGTGGTCTGGGACACTCTCACAGCCCAAATGACAAGGGCAGGTGGTAGCCAGCACCCCCCGCCCCCCGCCCACCGCCGAAAGAGCCTTCCAAGGCCCTAAGAGTTTACTGTCAAAAATACGTAACCTAGAGCCATATCCAAGATGGTGGTTTACATGGGACACAGAAGAAGACTTTTTGATTTTAACAGAGATCCATCTATGGCTTTCACAAATGCTACATTCTGCATATGGTAGAGATACACGGTCTCTTTATAAATGAACAGGTCTGCTTTATAACTGAGTCAACTTAAAGAAACCCACTCAGTAAGAGCCACAGTCAGAGTCAGGATGTGGCCCTAGCGCAGAGTGCGAAGGTAAGGCCCGGGGCCCAACACCCGGTGGGGAGGGCCATGCTGCGCCGAGCCTGGGGGCCGAGCCTGTGAGAGGCGGCCTGTGGAGAGCTCCCTCACCTGCTCGGCTGCGCCGTCCCTGCCGAGCCCTCTCCAGCCCCAGCCCACACCTCCGTGCAGCTTCTCAGCCCCGTGGCGGTGATGCCTGTCCCCGGGGGCTGCAGTAAAGTGTTGTTGAAGCTCGGCGGCTGGAAAGAGGAATCAGAGGGCAGAGGCCATGTGCTGGCCGTGACCTCCTGCTGGAGGCCAGAGGGTTGGCAGTGCCGTCCTTCAAGTGTGTGTGCCTGCCTGTTCAGGGGGCGTATCTTAAGTCTGTTGGCGTGTCGCCCGATGAGGCAATCATCCAGACTGAAAAGTGGGGCGCCAGCTGGGCTAGTCCACTGGGAGCACAGGGAATATGTAACATGAGGAAATTACAGGGCAGGAGCCCCAGAGCAGTGGGGCTGGGGTCCTGGGCGGGAAAAAACCCGAAGTCATCCAGTCAACCCTCAGCCACCCCACATTCTGTCAGGCGGTCCTCCCTCACTTCCAAGTACAGGAAAGACCCTCCCCTACTTTGTGAATCATCCATGAGGAATTCCATTCTATTCCAGGAGGTTTTCTGGGGAGCGATTATGGATAGTGCTGGGATTCTCAGAAATGTCCCAAGGAGGAGGCAACTCTCAGCTGAAGGCGTGGTGCACACCCCGGCCAGATTAGAACATGGAAGGTTGACTGGCCCTGGATGCTTGGTCGGGTCACCGTTCCTCATTTGCTTCCTCCTTCGGTTTTGATGAGTTTTGCTGGCTGGCACACAGCTTGGCACAGGCTAGATTTAGGTTCACCTTCTCTCTTTGGTAACATCACCTCCGCCCCTGCCCGTCTGTCTCCCCCTCGGCTCTGGGGCCTGCTGCGGCTCTGGGCAGGGCGCACTGCACATGACGGCCTGCTCCAAGGCTGCCCCCACCCCTTCACCCGGAGGGTCTCTGTGAGTAGTCTTCAAGGACAAGTTTAACCGTGTCCTGGAAAAAGTGAGGCGAAGTAGGAAACCAGAGGTCAGGTGGAGAAGGAGCGGAAAACTAAAGACTCAGATATGAGGGTCCAATGTTAGTGTGGGTTTAGTCTAAGGTAATTAACCCAAAGCAAAGTGGGAAGTAGGGCTAAGTAGCAAATCCAGGCCTGACCAACGGGACCAATCAGCCAGTGGAGGTCTGCAAAATGACTTACGTGACTCAAAGCTAGGCTTGCAGAGGGCTGGGCTGGACTAGAGGGGCAGCCCCTCCTGGGGGCATGGGGCCAGAGGACAGGGCAAGCCTGGGGGTGTGAAGGGGGGAGAGTGGGTCTGGGGTGTGCTGAGAAGCCACAGGGAAGCAGGGAGTTAGAGAAGATCTTGACAATAAAAGGCCCAAAGAAGTTTTAAAGTATAGATTCATGGAGAAGAGTCTCTCTTTGGGGTAAACAGATGGCAGAACAATACTCAAATCCAGCAGAGGAGAGTGCTCTGAGATTTCAGGGGCCCCGTGAAGCTCCTGTCTCTAGAAGCCCTTCCCCAAGGCCTAGCAATACGAGGGATTCCTCACCGGGCTGCCATGCTATGTCTGAACTCTGAGCCAATGAAAGGGCAAACCTAAGAGAAGTGACCTTTTGAGCTGTAGCTGGCTTCCCCAGAGTGAGAGAAGGGCGTGAAGAACTAGTGTGAGGTTTCTGTGGGCCTGCGGGATGGAGAAGGAGCCAGACATGGAGGAAGGGAGGAAAGAGAAAAGAAAGACTCAGGAAGCCAACCCGTGACCCAATCCATTGGTGGGCAGTGGGCAGGCCTCAGCCGGCTGGGACAGACAGGGATGGCTAGCTGGGAGTGCAGGTGCTCCTGTGGACCAGGGTGGGTGCCCGGGGAACCAGCAGTAGAAGTACATCCCTGCATGAGGGGGTCAAACTCACCTGGGGGCCAGGTGGGACTCCATCTCCACCCAGAGTCACAAGGGACCCATGCTTCCCTCCCTTGGGCCTCTTGCAAGCCCCCAGCCTGGAACCAGAGGGCAGGACTCTGCTTGCTTGCTTTGCTCAGGGGCTCTAGGCTTCCTGGGGTGTACCCATCCCCTGGGAGGATGGCAAAGAGTAAGGACAGGGGCCATCCAGGAGCTACCAACGATGTCCACCTGAATCCACATTCCCAAAGACTGATTTCATCCTTGCTTCACACATCACCTTCTGTGCATGTTCCTACTCGACCCCACAGACCTCCAGAGTTATCCTGGACACTGTTGGGGGTCGGGGGAAGGGCATTTATCCGGCTGGTTTGAATTCCAGAGAGTTGGAACATCTGAAGGAAGGATAAGAAGGGAAACTTGCATCTTGCAAGAGACGTTTCTAGGCACATTTCGAGCCGAATACTGTTGATCCTTACAGAGTTCTCAGCTACAGGTCTTTAAAGTTGTGTTCAAGTTATTTAAGTATCTGACCGCATTTATATCCTAGAGATTTCTCTCTGGAGAAGTATCAAAATGGGAAAGAAAAGACCAGTCTACATCTCATTAGCAGGTGGGAAAGATGTCCCGAGTCTGTCCCTAAGTTGAAAGCTCTTTTCTGAAGAATGTTGATGGTACCACCTTGCATCCTCCATGGGCTTGTATACGGCAGAAATAAATTTTAAGTTGAATTAAAGCCCACCACAGTGAAGAACATACTGAAAGCCTCACAGGACCCCTGTGGAACTCACGCAAGGTTTTTATAAACCACCACCCACCTCTTACTAACTCAGGATTAACCCTGGGGTACGAGTACCCACTGTCTCGGATACCAGCAGTGGGGATGGCTACGCTTCATACACAGGGCCAGGTACCCACCGGCAGAACAGGTACAACCCATGAGAGGTCACTGGAGAGACACGGGGGGCTAAAGTATATCCCCCAGAAGTTGTTCCCTGTTTACAGGGCAAGGGTTCCATCCCAAGGCAGGCTGTCCTTGGGCTGAAGGTATCCCATAGTTTTAGGGAACATCAGATGCCTTTTGAGGCGAGCTGGGAAGGAAAGGTTTTGACAGAGGGAGGAAGGAAAGTGGGTTTGGAGCCTGGCATTGGGAAGATGTGGACAGGATAGTAGGTTGTAAGCCACCAAGGATAGGGGGAGGTTCTTGGATCTTAGGGACAGACTCCTTGAGAAAGGAGAGGACAAGTATGTGAGCAACATCACCAGCCTTGCGATTTGGGGGTGGGCTCAAGAAGACATAGGGCGTGTGCTTTAGAAGGCAGTGGAACCAGATGCACAGACCACCCCCGCCCCCAGTCTCATCATGCTGAAAATCCCCAGGGCATTCAGTCAAAGACCTGGGGCCCTGAGGGAACTCTGGGGCTCCTTCATCTTGGGCTCGCTCCATTTGCTCCCTACCTGTGTCCTGTTGACATCACACCAAAATGCCACGCCCCCCCCCCCCGAGAAAACAGCTGGAGAGCGACAACCCCGCTGAATTAGCTGGACATACCGAATCTAAGGACTTGGGCAGGGTCCTGCCTGTCTGATTCAGGAGGGAATTGGTTTTGTCTGGTGGGAGGTGCTGGAGGTGAGGCTGGGCGAAGTCATGTCATCCAGTCCAGGCTTAAGAAGAGCCCAGACATAGTGCTGTAGTTTCTGGAGCTCCTGACTCTTCCCAGTCCTGCGGCATGGTTGGAGCTCCTCCACAGCGGAGCCTGCGGTGGGAAAGCAAGCCCACCTGCATGCTGCCCAGGCTGGCTCAGCTGAAGCCTGGGGTGCCTCGATCACCCCCACAGGGGCTGATGATACGGCAAGTTCCCGGGCCTGGTTTCCATCTTCTCTGTAGGAAGCCTCGCCCCTCCGAAGATCTGACCAGCAAGATTGTCCAGATTTGTAGTTGGCCTCTGGCTTCTGGCCTCTGGTCCAGTTCCCTGGTGTACCTTGAGTGGCTGCTCTTCCCTCCAGGCCTTTACCTTCTTGAGATGTTTGCTAGGCTGAGATTTCTGCTCCCTGGCGCCTGAGCCTCCCTGACTAACCCCTGCCCTGCCTCACCAGCTGTCAGTCCGACGGGGTGGCCCGCCTTTGCGTTTACGCCCCCTTTGCAGTCACCCCCACTGCAGAACATTTTGCAGTGGCCCCTGCTTCAGTGGGGAGATTTCCTCTCATTCATCCCGCCAGCATTCTTGTATACTCTCCCTCCTTCCCTTTCCCTTTTATATTCCTCCTGTCGGCCCCCTCGCCACCCACGGATTCCGACTTTGCACAAGCGATGTGCCATCAACGCCAGACCAAAGACTTTGTGCCATCATGTACTCACCTGCATCTGGAGGTGGCCCGCGTCGGAGCAGGGGTGCACAGGGTGGGTGGCAGGCCCCCCACCCCACCCCCGGCAGCGGGCGGGTGGGGGAACCGAGAAGCCAGTGAGGCGGGAGCCCAGACCTCTGGTGCTGGGGAAAATCTCCCAGCGTAGAATCCGTTTGCGCGTCCCACTGGGGATTCCGTTCTGAGGTGGCGGCATCACCCAGGAGCCCGTAAATGTAGCACGGTCTGCTTTTGCGTTCCTAGTGGGCTCGCCGCCTCGGGGGGCCGTAGCGGGCAGAAGTGATG